GAATCTATATGTATGACATTTGTCCTGTAGGGGGCAGTAAAACACATTGAAGGTTCAACACTGCCGCAAACAGAAGAAGAAGAAGTTACTTCCTGTTTACGTTTCACAGTGACGTCACGCCGATAAGGTTTATCGAAAGTGTTTGTGAAGTGAAACATCGGAGAAGTTCAGGGAGCAGCAGCTTTGTGTTTGGACAGCAGCCGGGTTGGTCAGGYCCGGCGGACAGAGAACCGGCCTGTGGTTCTGACTGGTGTTGGGTTGAAACGCCGAACCGAACCGGACCGGGCTGCTAATATCTGAGCTAACATAAAGAAAGGAGCTGTAGACGGACTTCCTCGGTCAGCATGGAGAACAAATACAACCTGAAGAGTCCAGGTGAGCCTGTTAAATGTTACCAGCTGTTTGAAGTCGACATAATCTCAGATTAAACGGAATAAAAACACCTGAGTTCCGCAGGTTCGGTTCGTGTCGCTCAGTCACTGTTTAAAGACATGTCTGAACATCTGCAGCTTAAATTAAAGCCTTTTTCATTTGTTTTTGGAAACCGTTCAATGGGTTTTCTTTATTAAACGTGTCCTGGTCTGTGTTGATTGGCCAGTGACGTAATCAAACGGTGCGTTCAATTTGCCTCGGAAATCAGACGTTCCTGTTAATGACATTTGAAAGCATTTTTCTCAGGGACCAGTCTAACTGTGAGACATAACCTTTATTACTCTGTATTCTGAGCACACAAAGGTTTGTGTTAACACTAATGTCAACAGAACGAGCTTTAAAAACACTTTCTAATAAAGCCAAGAGATGATGCATCTGGGTTWAAAATGGTAAAGTCGTGGAAATTTAACATTTTGTTTTGGGATCATTAACGTCCCGAATTTTATTTTATTTTTTGCCACTTCAGTAGAAAACTATGGAAGCCCATTTTCGCCACCCTGATAAAAAAATAAAACTTGTATCTCATAATTATGAGACTTAGCTATCTCATAATTATGAGATACCATCTCAAAATTATGAGAATCTCATAATTATGAGATAGTATCTCATAATTATGAGATATCTCATAATTATGAGATAGTATCTCATAATTATGAGATAT